CTCTCGGACCCGAGCTGGGGCGTGCGAAAGGGGCCCGCTCCAGCTCGACCTCTCCTTCGCCCCCTGCTCTGCAGGGCCCCGGCGACTGCCACGCCACAGGCCCTCGTGGGGACCACCCGCGATTTTGATGGGAGCGCCGCGGCCAGGCCCCCGGGAGGGCCCTGGCGGTCGGTCCACGAGCAGCCGGGCGCCCGTCGTGCCCGCAAGGGCCATGGCTCGAGCCAGGGCTCCAGCACGCCCGACCGGAGAGGGCCAGCCAGGGGTCCGACCGAGATGGCTCCCCGGCTCCACGGACCGCTCTGGGGGTGCCAACTGACGGGTGGCGACGGGCGCTCCGCAGCGCCGCCTCCGCAGGCCACCCGAGCAACGCCCCCCCCGACCCGTCCCCGAACACCGTAAGCCGAGGCGAATGTCGAGCCTCCCTGTACCTTCGAATGTGCCGCAACCCTTGAAGACGAGCGTCTGCGGCGCGGATGCGAGAGCCACACTTTGACGGCCATCCGCCCTCCATCCGTGGAGCAGTGGATATCTTGTGGCTTGAGCATCGCCAGTGGTGAGGAAGTCTCGGGCGAAACGCCCGGGCTGCTCTGCCGACACGTTTGGGGTTGTGATAGGCGTGAGGTATTCAGCATGAGAAGGGATTGTTGATGATGCTGATGATGATGTTGTTGGTGGTGATGATGATAGTGATGCTGATCATGGTGGTGATGATGATGCTGATGAGGATGATGATGATGATGATGACGATGCTGATGCTGCTGCTGCTGATGATGTTGATGATGCTAAGGATGATGATGGTGATGATGATGCTGATGAGGATGATGATGTTGATGATGCTGGAGAGAATGATGATGAGGCTGATGATGCGGATGATGGTGATGATGATGGTGATACTGATGATGATGATGATGATGATGATGATGATGATGATGATGATGATGATGATGATAATGATGATGCTGAAGATGATGGTGATGATGATGGTGATGATGCTGCTGATGATGATGCTTATGGTGCTGCTGATGATGCTGCTGATGATGATGCTGATGATGGTGACGATGATGATGATGATGCTAAAGAGGATGATGATGCCGGTGAGGATGCTGCTGTTGATTCCGCTGCTGATGATGATGATGCTGATGATGAAGGTGATGATGGTGATGATGTTGATGATGGTGATGGGGATTCTGATGATGATGGTGGTGCTGATGATGATGCTAATGAGGATGATAGGGATTATGGATTCTGATGATGATGCTGATGCTGGTAATGCTGCTGCTGATGATGGTGATGATGATGGTGATGATGATGGTGATGATGATGATGATGCTGATGATGATGATGCTGGTGCTGCTGCTGATGATGCTGTTGCTGATGATGATGCTGATGATGGTGATGATGATGATGCTAAGGATGATGATGCTGATGAGGATGCTGCTGCTGATGATGCTGATTATGCTGATGATGCTGATGATGAAAAGATGATGATGATGATGATGATGATGATGATGATGATGATGATGATGATGATGGTGTTGATGATGGTGATGATGGTGATGATGATGGTGATGATGATGATGATGATGATGATGCTTCTGATGATCCTGATGAGGATGATGAGGACGATTTTGATGATGGGGATGATGATGATGATGATGATGCCAATGATGATGATGATGCTGCTGCTGATGATGGTGATGATGCTGATGATGATGATTGTGATGCTGTTTCTGATGCTGATGATGGTGATGATGGTGAGGATCTTGAGGGGGATGAGGATGAGGATGATGATGATGTTGATGATGGTGCTGATGGTGATGATGAGGATGATGATGCTGATGATGCCGATGAGGATGATGATGGTGATGATGATGCTGAAGATGACGCTGATGATGCTGCTGATGATGCTGGTGATGCTGACGTTGCAGACGATGATGATGGTGATGATGATGAAGATGATGGTGGTAATGAGGATGATGCTCATGAGGATGCTGATGATGCTGATGATGCTGATGCTGGTGAAGATGATGATGATAGTGGTGATGATGCTGATGATGATGAGGACGATGCTGATGCTGATGATTCTGCTGACGATGATACTGACGATGCCAATATTGATGATGGTTGTGATGGTGATGATGCTGTTGAGGATGATGCTGATGATGCGGATGATGCTAAGGATGATGTTGATGATAGTGATGGTGAGGATGATGAGGATGATGATGATGCTGATGATGTTGCTGTTGACGATGATGCTGATGATGCTGGTGAGAATTATGATGGCGACGGTGATGATGATGATGATGATGATGACACTGATGCTGCTGATGGTGGTGATGCTGCTGATGAGGATGATGATGATGCTGCTGATGATGATGATGCAGATGATGCCAATGGTGATGATGATGCTGATGATGCTGATGAGGATCATGACCATGATGCTGATGATGCTGCTGCTGCTGATGATGATGATGCTGATGACGATGGTGATGGTGATGATGGTGATGATGCTGGTTGTGATGATGCCGATGCTGATGAGGATGGTGAGGATTATGATTCTGATGATGATGCTGATGATGATGATGCTGATGATGACGCTGATGATGATGCTGATTATGCTGATGATGCCAATGATGATGGTGGTGATGCTGATGCTGGTGATGATGATGATGATGCTGATTATGATGATGCTTATGCTGCTGCTGATGATGACGCTGATGATGATAGTGATGATGATGATGGTTATGATGCTGATGATGGTGAGGACTGTGATGATGCTGATGATGATGATGGTGGCGATGATGGTGTTAATGATTCTGATGATCATGATGATGATGCGGATGATGAGGCTGAGGATGAGGATGATGATGATGCTGTGAATGGTGGTAACGGTGCTTTTCGATGAGGATGCTGATCATGGTGGTGATGGGGATGATGCTGATGATGATAATGCTGAGGATGATGAGGATGATGATGATGGTGCTGATGGTAATGCTGCTGAGGATGATGATGGTGCTGACGATGATGATGATGATGATGATGATGTTGATGAGAACGATGCTGATGATGCTGATGATGGTGATGATGATGACGATGCTGATGATGCTAATGTTGATGATGGTGATGGTGGTGAGGATGCTGATGAGGATGATGATGATGCTGATGATAATGATGCTGCTGATGTTGATGGTGACGATGATGATGATGATGCTGATAATGAAGGTGATGATGGTGGTGATGTTGATGATGCTGATGACGGTGATGATTCTGATGATGGTGCTGCTGATGATGATGCTGATGATGCCAATGGTGATGATGTTCATGATGATGCTGATGATGCTGATGCTGATGCTGATGCTGATGATGATGCTGATGATGATCATGCTGATGATGCTAATGATGCTGAGGATGATGATGGTGATGATGGTGGTGATGCTGATGAGGACGATGACGATCATGGTGTTGATACTGCTGCTGATGATGCTGAGATGATTGTTCTGATCACGATGATGATGTTGATGATGGTGATGATGTTGATGATGATGGTGGTTATGATGATGATGCTGGTGAAGATGATGAGGATGAGGATGATGATGCTGATGATGATTCTGATGATGCGAATGCTGATGATGAGGTTGATGATGATGATACTGATGATGTTGCTGATGATGCTGCTAATGCTGCTGATGATGCTGCTGATGGTGATGATGATGATGATGACGGTGGTGATGATGATGATGATGATGATGATGATGCTGATCAGGATATTTAGGACGATGATGATGAGGATGATGTTGGTGATGCTTCTGATGATGATTGTGATGATGATGACGCTGGAGAGAAGAGTGATGATGCTGATGATGCGGATGATGCTGCTGATGATGATGATGATGATGTTGATGATGCTGATGGAGGTAATGATGGTGATGCTGATGCTGATGATGATGCGGATGCTGCTGCTGCTGATGAGGATGAAGATGACGATGCTGAGGATGCTGCTGCTGCTGATGATGATGATGATGACGATGCTGCTGATCATGATGATGATATTGATGTTGATGATGTTGATGTTGATGATGCTGCTGATAAAACTGGTGCTGCTGCTGATGATGATGATGCTAATGATGATCATGGTGATGATGATGCTGATGAGGATGATGATGATGATGATGATGATGATGATGATGATGATGATGATCATCATGATGATGATGATGATGATGATGATGACGATGATGATGATGATGCGGATGATGCTGCTGAGGGTGTTGATGCTCATGGTGCTAATGATGATTATGATGATGGCGGTGATGATGCTGATGATCATGCTGATGATGATGGTGATGTTGATAAGGATGCTGATGATGTTGATGATGGTAACTATGATGGTTAAGTCGATGCTGGTGGTGATGCTGCTGCTGATGATGATGTTGATGGTGATACTGATGATGATAGTGACGATGCTGATGTTGATGATGATGATGCTCATGATGATGATCGTGATGCTGGTGATGATGCTGCTGCTGCTGATGATGATGGTGATGATGACGAGGATGATGATGACGATGCTGATGATGAGGATATGAATGAGGATGAGGATGAGGATGAGGATGATGAGGATGATGATGATGTTGATGATGATGCTGCTGATGATGATGATGCTAATCATGGTGCTGGTGGTGGTTGTGGTGATGATGATGATTAGCACGATGGTGATTTTGCCGCTGACGATGATGATAATGATGATGATGATGATGATGATGATGATGATGATGATGATGATGATGTTGATGCTGATGCTGATGCTGATGCTGATGCTGATGCTGCTGATGATGCTGCTGCTGCTCATGATGATGATGATGATGATGATGATGATGATGATGATGAGGAGGAGGAGGAGGAGGAGGAGGGGAGGAGGAGAGGAGGAGGAGGAGGAGGAGCAGGAGGTGGAGGAGGAGGAGATATGCTGAGCAGGGAGGTATGGGGGGAGGAGGGGAGGAGGAGGGAGGTAGGGAGGGAATGGGCATTACAGCGTTGGGAGCAGGGATGAATTTCAAAGTCGGAAAATTCAGGGAGGATGACCCACGAGGAAGGATGGAGGTGAGAGAAAGGGTAAAGCATGAGGAGGGTGAAGAGGAGGAAGAGGAGGAGGAGGAGGAGGAGCAGGAGGAGGAGGAGGAAGAGACGGAGAGGCAGCAGCACTCAAGGCATTGAAGCCGTCCGATGCCCTCTCTGGAGACAAACTTGGCCCAGGCTGGGGCCGTTCACGCCTCGTTTAATCCCCTGTCGTCAGTTCGCCTTCTAGGCAAGCACGCTGCTGCACAGGGTGCGCACGCTCAGTCACTGCCGAGGGGGGCGACAAGAAGAGGGGCCTAGGGGAGCAGACGAGGGAGGAGGCAGACACACGTGCACACGTGCACACGTGCAGCGGCTGATCGGCCAGCACGATGGGCCCAGCACGGGCAATCGGCCGAGGAGGGACTCAGGCCCCCCTACCTTTGGGCCTCTTGCCACCGCCGAGCTGCCTGGCCGTGTTGCCCCTTGGGCACGATTGACCTCACATAAGCATCCACATTGCGCAGCTGCTCACACACGACCTCCTCAACGCCCACCCATACCCCCTGCACCGCTAGCTTCTCACCAGGCAGCGCCTTTGTCAGCGCCCCGTCTCCCACCCCCTGCTTCTCCCCGAGCTCCTTCAGCAACTCCGCTGCCACGGCCGTCTCCCGACGAAGAGGACTGCTGCCACGCCGCGAAAACGTGACCCGATTGTGCTGCTTCTGGCCTGGGCGGCCGCACGTGGGTTGCCATGGACATTTCCTTGATCCAGCGCGATGTCTAGAAAGGGGTGGGCTTCGCCACTGCGAGCTGGGGACGCTTGCACGCCTCTTTGCCGGACTGGGTCCTGGCTGGGAAGTCCACGGGCTACGAGTTCTCTACACGAGAGTGGCGAGGAGGGCTTGGCACGAGGGGCTGGCCGTCTCTTTGTCTCGATGTCTCTCTTCTCTTTCGAGAGATCCTGGAAGCTGTACGGCATTGTCTCGATCAGGGTGTGCTTCCCCTCGACCAAGGCTGTGGTGTAGGTCACCTGTTCCAATGTTCTGACGCGAGTCTCGAGCTGCGTGATGCGCTTGTCTCTGACGCTGTTGCTGCTGCTGACGTGATCCTCCCCTCCTCCGACATCTCCTCGTTCGCGTCGCCTTTCATCTTCGTCCCGTGCTGCTCTGATGCGGTCACGATATTCTTGCTGCGAGGTCCCACCAATCCTGTTGAGTCTGATGCGGCCTCCATGCGCTTTGATAGGAAAGCTCGGTGCCAAGAACGGCAGTACATGCAAGACATGCTCGGACAGCACAACTGCGGTGCCAAACTCCTCCAGACACGTGCCATTTCCCAGCGCCTGGCTCTCGCACCGTGCTTTCGAAACGACCACGATTATACGGGCAGGGCTGTCGTACCCGGCTACGTTTAGGATGTTGGAGAGCGACCGCGCGATCTTGAGAAACGCTCGAGCAGATCGTGCTTTGATTCGTGATCGTGCAAAACCGAGCGATCGGCAGTTTCCCACACGTTCCCCCAGATGTCGAAACGATCTGAGCGATAAGCTGTTTGCGAGTAGTCCATGTGGTGAGATATTGCGAACTGTCACGCAGGTATTCTTGGCATACAACATCGCCCATCTCGTTGGACGGTGCAGCCGTGCTGATGACGGCAGCCTGCTGCATCTGAACTGCCCACGGATGCCTTCCACGACCTCCCCTCCAGCACCTCCCGGTCCAGGGCCATAACTCCTAACGAGGAGGAGGGAGGAGGAGGAGGAGGATGAGTAGGAGGAGGAGGAGGAGGAGGAGGAGGAGGAGGAGGAGGAGGAGGAGGAGAGGAGAGGAGGAGGAGGAGAGGAGGAGGAGGAGGAGGAGAGGGGGGAGGAGGAGAGAGGAAGGAGGAGGAGGAGGAGGAGGCTGAGGAGGAGGAAGGAGGAGGAGGAGGAGGAGGAGAGGAGGAGGGGGAGGAGGAGGAGGAGGGGGAGGAGGAGTAGGAGGTTGATCCCGATCACGAGTCTGCTGATGGTTGCGACGACGATGCCGATGACGATGGCAAGGATGGCAACGCCGATGACGCTGCGAAGTTCTTTCCCGCGGGTGATGACGAAGGCGATGGTGACGATGACGACGCCGTGACGACGGCGACGCCATGGAGCCGACCCGCTGGAGCGGGCGGCCCCCGCCCCGCACCCTGCTGGGCCCCCCGGCGGCGGCCAGACGGCCGCGGCCCGAGAACCTGCTCCTGGACGGCAGGAGTCAGGAGGGAAAGAAACACACAGACACAATTAATCCTCCATTCCCTAGAAAATATGGGAAAATATGGGAATTGGGGGGAAGACAGAAACCCAGAAAATGTACGAAAATATGGGGCATCATTTTATTGCGAAGGCCTTACGGCCGGTGCCGCCGACCCTGTTCGCAATGCGCAGCAAGAGGCACGGGCTGTGGGATGGTTTTGGGGAACGGGGAGAAGGACGAGAAGGTGGGGGAGGGAGGTGTCGTATCTGACCCGGGACTTCCCCGGGACTCCCCCGGGACCCCCCCCGGGACCCCCCCTCCCCCCCCCGTCGGGGAAGGGAAAGGGAAGGGGCTTCCCTTCGACTCAATTACGACGTTGCTCAAGGTCGGTACGGGGGGGGGGCGTCGTATCTGACCCGGGACTCCCCCGGGACCCCCCCCGGGACCCCCCCTCCCCCCCCCGCGGGGAAGGAAAGGGAAGGGGCTTCCCTTCGACTCAATTACGACGTTGCTCAAGTCGGTACGGGGGGGGGGCGTCGTATCTGACCCGGGACTCCCCCGGGACCCCCCCCGGGACCCCCCCTCCCCCCCCCGTCGGGGAGGGAAGGGAAGGGGCTTCCCTTCGACTCAATTACGACGTTGCTCAAGGTCGGTACGGGGGGGCCGTCGTATCTTGTCCCGGGACCCCCCGGGACCCCCCCCGGGACCCCCCCTCCCCCCCCCGTCGGGGAAGGGAAAGGGAAGGGGCTTCCCTTCGAATCAATTACGACGTTGCTGAAGGTCGGTTTGGCTAGCGCGCTTGAGGAGGAGGCCCTGGGAAAGGGCGAGGGGAGCGGGGAGGAGCCCAGGGGAAGAGGGGTACCAGGGAAAGGGAACGACAGAGACGACGATTACAAAGAATGACGGAGATGACGGCTCGAACGGAAAAGCCCCTCACACACGCCGACAGGGTCGGCGGATTCGTGTGTATTTATTTGTGTGTCCTGGGGCCCCTTCAAGGAGGCACATCAAGATCGTGGACTTTGGCCTGAGCAACACCCACAAGGACCCCTCCTCCTCCCCCTCCCTCCCTCTGCCTCCCCCTCCCTCTGCCTCCCTCTGCCTCCCCCGCCCTCTGCCTCTGCTCCTCTGCCTCTACCTCTACCTCTACCCCGGTCTCTATCTCTACCTTCGATCCTAGCTCCTCCCTCCTCCTCCTCCTCCTCCTCCTCCTCCTCCTCCTCCTCCTCCTTCCTCCTCCTCCTCCTCTCCTCTCTCTCCTCCTCCTCCTCCTCCTCCTCCCCTCCTTCTCTTCTCCTCCCTGTCCTGCTCCTCCTCCTCCGCCTCCTCCTCCTCCTCCTCCTCCTCCTCCTCCTCCTCCTCCCCCTACTCCCCCTCCTCCCTCCTCCTTCTCCTCCTCTTCCTCCTCCTCCTCCTCCTCCACGGAGAAGGGCGCGCCGAGGTCAGCCACTGCCTGAAATGCCGCCGCGCCCTTCACTGGCTGCCTCGCCCTCGACAAATCCTTAAGGGCGATCTTTTGCGTCGGCTCGGACTTGCTGGAGATGAGACTTACCACGACGATCCACGGCAAAAGCGTTCCAGGTTCACGGTGATGTGCACCCTCGTGCTGCGCTACTGCCTTTCCCCGGAGGTCAGGCCAACGGCTTCGTCCGCAAGTTCACCTGCTTCACAGGCATGCCGCGAAGTGGCGCTGGACCTTCACAGTTGGCGTCGCCGCGGCGCCCACTTCCACACTTGCCCTTCGCAGGGCGTGCCACAGGGGGGTGCTGGACCGCCTCAGCGAGCACAGCCGAGTCGGCGCCCCGCGACCGCAATGCCGCCCGCCGCCGATCAGACCTTCTGAGGTACTGGCGTTCCTCCTCCTCCTCCTCCTCCTCCTCCTCCTCCTCCTCCTCCCTCTCTTCCTCCTCTTCCTCCCCCTCCCCCTCCTCCTCCTCCTCCTACTCCTCTTCTCCTCCCACCTCCTCCTCCTCCTCCTCCCTCCTGCTCCTCCTCCTCCTCCTCCTCCTCTCCTCCTCCTCCTCCTCCTCCGCCCTCCTCCTCCTCCTCCTCCTCCTCCTCCTCCGCCTCCTCCTCCTCCTCCTCCTCCTCCTCCTCCTCCTCTCTCTGCCTCCTGCCTCGTCCTGCTCCTTCTCCTTCTTGTGCGGCGAACAGCTGTCGGCCGATCAGGTGGACAAGCGGGTTCCCAGGCTTCGGCGAGCGCGAGGAGGTATTTGCTCGCATGGGTGCGCCTCCTCCTCCTCCTTCCTCCTCCTCCTCCTCTTCCTCCTCCTCCTCCCCCTCGCCCTACATTAAGAGTCACCGCGGTTTGTGGGGTCGCGCTCGTGAGCGGTGCCGCGTAAGGCATCTGGCGGGAGTCAGGCTCCCCAGTCAATCGTCCATCGAGGGAGGGCTAGCCATGGGGCTCAACCTGGGACATGTGATTGCCAACGCCACAGTTGACTGTATATAGCCGACCACTTCGAGGCCGAGGTTCGAGTCCAGTCTGCCGTTTCCTCGGCGGTCCAGATGGCCGACGGCTTCGCTCTCGCAGGGTCCAGGGCCAGTTGCGTGGCGTGGCGGAACACGTGCTGGATACGGAGGGTCGGAGACCCCCGTCTTCCCCGCGCGCGTGTCCGCAGCACCTTTGCCCCAGGAGTCGCGCGGCGCCGCCTCGAGGTCCCAGCACTCCCGCCCGCAACTTTCGGGGGGAGTTCGGCCAGTGTCGCAAGTGCGGCTGCCGCGCCAGCGCCGATTCTCTCTGACCTCCCTCCTCGCGGCTCCGTGCCGCTCGGTGTGTTGGTCTGGGGCTGTCCTCAGGCTGTCTGCGTCGGAGCGAGGGAGGTGCCCAGCTCGCATCAAGTGGCCTTCTGGCCCGATGAAGATTTGTGCTGGTGTGTTGTGCGTGGGTGCTGTAGTTGTGGAAGTCGATTTAATGGAGAGGAAGCGTGCTGCCAAATCATTTCCAGGTGTCAAACAAAGTTTCAAACATGCTTTTAAAAGGTAAAAAAACATGTTTGAAACATTTTTAGAACATGTTTTACACATTGTGCACACATTTTTAGTTCGATGATAGGATTGTTCGAGTGTCCATTGTCATGGCATTCACACTGCTATAGTGTACTTCGCAGCTCCGTGAGCTGCTGCACCACTAGACTCAGCAAGGCGGGATCCCAGAACTTGGCCAGGATTGCCAGAGGCTCTTTCAGGTGAACCAAAAAGTGACGTAAACATAGAAACTCGGAGGTCCGCGCGGATTTCTCGGATCGGCGCTGGGGCCACCCGGCGGCGCCTCCGGCGCCGCCCCTGGCGCGCTCCGCGCGCCAGGGAGGGGGGTCCAGCGCCGATCCGAGAAATCCGCGCGGACCTCCGAGTTTCTATGTTTATGCCACTTTTTGTTCCCCTCTCTTTGCCAGGGTCTTGCTTGCGGACTTCACCCGTGCGGTGGACAGCGGTGGATCGGTTTCGCCTGGCGAGGCGGGGAGTTTTGTTGCTGGTGCCCTTCCCTCTTGGGGGCAGGGCCGCCAGCGATCTCCTCTCTATCCTGCTGGTCTCAGCCTTTGCGATGCGACGTGTCAGGTCAGACTTGGGGCAGAGAGCGGAAGGAACGGAGGGAGCGGGGAGGCTTTCGGGATAGGGGGGGCAAGCGCCGCGGCGGCCGCCCGCCGTGCCGCCCGCGCGCCCGCGCCGCCCGTGCTGCCCTTGTCGTCGTCGCTGCACGGATTATCGAGATCGCTCGCGGTGTGCTCCTCCTCCTCCTCCTCCTCCTGCTCTTTTTCTTCTCCTCTCCTCTCCCTCTGCTGCTCCTCCTCCTCCTCCTTCCCCTCCTCTCCTCCTCCTCCTCCTCCTCCTCCTCCTCCTCCTCCTCCTCCTCCCTCCCTCCCCTCCTCCCCATTCTCCTCCTCCTCCCTCCCTCCTCCTCCTCCTCTCCTCACTCCTCCTCCTCCTCCTCCTCCTCCCCCTCCTCCTCCCCTCCTCCTCCTCCTCCTCCTCCTCCTCCTCCCTCCTCCCTCCTCCCTCCTCCTCCCTCCTCCTCCTCCTTGTAAGCATGTTGCACATACTTTCCATGTTTGTGGCGTGCACCCTGCCCGCCGCCGTTTTGGCTCAAGTCCTAGGGCCCTGGGACTGCACCCGCAGTTTGACCGCCGCGCGGTCCGAGCAAAAAGAACTGCACTGACACACGCTTGCGTGGTTGGGCTCGTGCGAGGCGAGTCGGCGCGAGGCAGGGCCGAGCGAAGCGAAGCGACGCCAGCGATGATGCTGATGATTATGATGATGCTGGTGATGCTGACGATGGTGATGATGCTAGTGAGGAGACGACGGTGATGATGGTCAGGATGAAGAGTAATCTGATGAGAATGATGATGACGACGATGACGGGGATGAGTGGGATGATGCTAAGAATGGGGATGAGGATGCAGATGATGAAGGTGATGATGGTGCTGAGGGTGATGATGACGGTGTTGTTGGTGATGATGATGCGGACGAAGGTGATTATGGTTCTGATGATGGTGATGATGATAGAATGGATGATGATGGTGATGGTGATGGTGATGATGATGGAGATGATGGTGGTGGTGATGATGATGATGGTAACTGCGATTGCCAGTCGGATGGTGATGGTGTTGGTGAGGAGGAGGAGGAGTAGGAGGGATATGATGATGCGGATGATGTTGTGGATGATAACGATTACGGTGGTGGTAATGAGATAGAGTATGATGATCAAGGCGAAGGCGATGTTGATGATGATGATGATGATGGTGGTGGTGATGACGATGAGGATGATGTCGGTATTGATGACGATGACGGTGATGATGCTGATGCTGCTGATGATGATGATGCTGATGACGGTGACACTGATGATGATGGTGATGATGATGATGCTGCTGATGATGATGCTGGTGAAGATGATAATGATGAGTGGCCAGAGCATCAAAGTGCGAATGATGGAGATATAGCAAGACGGTCGTACATATGACCATAATGGTGATGATTGCGAGGGTAAGGATGATAAGGATGAATATGGAAACCATTATGATGCTGACCATGTTGCTGCGGATGATGATGTTGCTGCTGTTGTTGATGGGCTGGTGACAATGATGTTTCGGATGAGCATGGATATGAGGATGCTGATTTGGATAAGGAGGATGAGGCTGAGGATGAACATTCTGATGGTTGTGATGACGGTGGTGACGATGATTATGACGACGATTGTGATAATGCTGATGATGATGGTGATGCTGCTGCTGCTGCTGATGGTGTTGATGATGACGATGATGGTGATGCTGATGATGATGACGTTGATACTGATGATGCGGCTGTTGATGATCATGCCGATAATGTCCATGATGATGGTAATGATGTCTATGATGAGGAGTACTATGATGAGGATGATGGCGACGACGGTGACGGGGATGAGTGGGACGATGCTACGGATGGGGACGAGGATGCAGATGATGAGGGTGATGATGGTGCTGCGGGTGATGATGACGCTGTTGTTGGTGATGATGATGGTGATGCCTACGAAGGTGATTATGTTTCCGATGATGATAATAATGTGAATGATGATGGTGATGATGGTGATGGTGATGATAATGGTGATTGTCAGTCGGATGGTGATGGTGTTGGTGAGGAGGAGGAGGAGGAGTAGTAGGAGGGATATGATGATGCGGGTGATGGTGGGGATGATGACGATTACGGTGGTGGTGGTAGTGAGAAAGGGTATGATGATCAAGGCGAAGGCGATGCTGCTGATGATGGTGGTGTTGATGACGATGAGCATGATGACGGTATGGATGATGATGATGGTGATGATGCTGATGATGATGATGCTGCTGATGACGGCGACGATGATGATGCTGATGATGATGATGTTGATGCTGCTGATTATGATGCTGATGATGGTACTGATGAGTGGTTAGAGCATCAAAGTGCGAACGATGGAGATATAGCAATACTGGCATACATATGATGATAACGGTGATGATGGCAATGAATGTGATGATGATGATGTTGATGATGGTGGTGATGATGATGCTGACGATGATGATGACGATGACGATGACGATGACGATGATGATGACGATGACGATGATGATGAGGATGAGGATGAGGATGAGGATGAAGATGATGGATGTATGGTTGGATGGGTGGATGGATCGAGGAGGAGGACGGGGAGGATGATGAGGATGATGATGATGATGATGAGGAGGAGGAGGAGGAGGAGGAGGAGGCAGGAACATCACTACACAAAAACGACGCTGCCAAGACGAGAGTCTGCCTCAGAATGGGCGTTGCGTCGCCAGGGGAAGGACTCGAGAAGATGAGTGTCTCCCAGTCTCCCTTCTACTCCCTCTTCCCTCCCCCCCCCCTCCCTGTCCTCCTTCTTACTCCTCTTGTTGCCTCCCCCCCAGATTTCACGCGCCTTCGACTGCACGTTCGCGTGGCAAGTTCAGGGACTACACGCGTGATTCATGGTGCTGGGTTGTTGCGAGAGTCAGAGCGAATATCGCTCCTCCCTGCTGTGTCTCGTGTCATGTCTCGCCGGCGCCACCCGACTTTGCCCTCCTTCGTCGTCCTCCCCTCGTCCCCCCCCCTCCTTCCCTTTCCCCCTCCCATGAATGAGTGTTGCATCGCCGCGTGGTGTAGCATGAGTGTCGTCCCTCTCTTTTTTTTTCCCCCCCTTTTTTGCCTCCTGTCCCCGCTCGTGCATGCTTCCTCGTTTGTCCATGCACCGCAGCCGTTGGCACGAAACCGGTAGCTTCTGAACGAGTGCCCGTGCGCTGGGAAAACAACGAGTGCGCAGACTTCTGCTGCGTTGCCTTGAGATTGTCTATTCATCTTGGCTCCCTCTCCCACCTCTCTCCCTGTCCCTTCCCTCCTTCTCGCCTTCTATCCGTGTTCTCTTTCTCTCAGCCTCTCCTCCGCCGCCTCCTTCTCCTCCCTCCTTCTCCTCCTCCTGGGCTGTGGACGCTGGTGGCATGGGTACCGACTGGCGGCGCTGCCATCCCCCCCCTTCCTCGTGTTGCTGCTGCTGCTGCTGCTGCTCCTCCTCCTCCTCCTCCTCCTTCTCCTTCTCCTTCTCCTTCTCCTCATCCTCGTCCTCATCCTTTCTCCTTCCTCTCCGTCTCCCTCTTGCTTTTGGCTCCTTGCTCCTCCTCTTCTTTCTCCTCCTCCTCCTCCTCATCTTCCTCCTCTTTCGCCTCCTCCTCCTCCTCCTCGAGCTCCGAGGCGGATCTGGCCGTGGCGACGAGAAGCCTCCCGGACCCCCCCCCCAAAAAAGGGGGGGCGACGCCCAGGGCCTCGCACCTCGATTTTCTCGAGCCTTGGCTCCTCCTCCTCCTCCTCCTCCTCCTTCTCCAACCTCCTCCTCTTCCACCCTCCTCCTCCTCCTCCTCCACCTCCTCCTCCTCCTCCTCCTCCTCGCACCTCGCGCCTCGGCCTCCTGTCCTCCTCTCTGGCATCGCTCGGACGTGTGCATTCTTTCTTCGGCGGGGACCATCGAGGACCATCCTGGACCATCGAGTACAAAAAAACACGCACGAAACCGACAACTGCACAGGAAATGGACGTCCGAGCGACGGCAAGCTTCCTCTCCGCCGGCGCCGCGCCCCCGGCCGCGCCGGCGCCGCCGCCGCGCCGAGGAGGGGCAGCTGCTCTCGACGGCGTGCGGCTCGCCGTGTTACGCGGCCCCCGAGATGATCGCGGGGCACAAGTACCACCCGCCGCTGGTCGACGTGTGGAGCCGCCACGGGGTGGGCGGGGGGCGTGGGGAGCGAGGAGGAGGAGGAGGAGGAGGGTGGAGGAGGAGGGGAGGAGGAGGAGGAGAGGAGGAGGAGGAGTAGGTTGGAGGAGGAGGAGTGAGGAGCAGGAGGCAGAGGAGGAGGAGGAGGAGGAGAGAGGAGGAGGAGGAGGGTGGAGGAGGAGGAGGAGGTAAGGTTGGCGTCGGGGGACTGGCATCAGGCGCATCTCACGGAAGCGTAAGGGCAGCGCTTTCTCCAGTCTGGTGGGCCTACGGCTCAGCGGCCCAAGCGCTTGACACACACTCGCCAGCCCAACGGGCCAGAGGCGTGCTAAGATCTCTGGTGACCGGTTTCGAGTTTTTCTAGTTCGCGCGCGCGTTGCCGCTCCCTCCCTCCCGCCCTCCCCCCTCCCTCCCTCCCTCCCTCCCTCCCTCCCTCCTCCCTCCTCCTTTCCTCCTCCCTCCTCCTTCCCTCCCTCCCTCCTCCCTCCTCCCTCCTCCTCCCTCCCTCCTCCCTCCTCCCCCCTCCCCCCCTCCCTCCCCCCCCATCCCCCCTCCCTCCTCCCTCCTCCCTCCTCAACCGAAAGGTTACCCCAGCAAGGTCCAGCCAGAGATGGGTTTTGTCCGGGCGCCGCCCCTCGAACCCACCAGAAAACATCAATCCCAGAAGACGGGCCAAGAGGCCCCCTAGAGGAGGGATGGAGGATAGAGGAGGAGGAGGAGAGGAGGAGGAGGAGGAGGAGGTAGAGGAGGGAGAGGAGGAGGATGAGAGGTAGGGGAGGGAGGAGGAGGTAAGGTTAGGAGGAGGAGGAGGAGTAGGAGGAGGAGGAGGAGGAGGAGGAGGTGAGGAAGAGAGAGGACAGCCAGAGATGGGTTTGTCCGGGCGCCGCCCTCGGAACCCACCAGAAAACTATAAATCCCCAAGACGGGCCAAGAGGCATATGGTACTCGATGCGAGCAGGAGGCCCTCCTCCTCCTCCGCCTCCTCCGCCTCCTCCTCCTCCTCCTCCTGGGGCCAAGAGGCCCCCAAGATGGTCCAAGGGGCGTCCAGGACACGACAAGATCGCCCCAGGACGCATAGGATTGCCCCCAGGCGGCTCAATAGCTCTCCAAGAGGACTCCCCAGAGGGCCCCACAGGGCAGAATCCATAGAGATGGCTCAAGCGGCCTCCGAAAACGGCCAAAGAGGCCCCGATGACGGCTCCAAGAGGGAGCCCAGACGGGGGACCCGAACGGACATTTCGAGCCCTCGGCCCCGAGAAGCTCCCAGGAGGCTCCAAGAGGCCCCCCGAGAGGCCCCCAAGAGGGTGCACCATACGATCGCTCCGAGACGCGCACGATGGCCTCCAGACGGCTCGAGAGCGCTCCAAGAGCTCTCATCAGAGGGCCCCCAAAGGCAACGATCGTAGATCTCCCTTAAAAAAAAAGGATTTTGGCATTCTCGCCTTTGCGGCTTCCCGACGCTCAAAGACGACCTAAGAGGCATCCAAGATCGCCCCAGACAGCCCAAGAGGCATCCTGGAGGGCCCCAAGACGGCCCGAGAGAGCCCGAGGTCTTTGGCATTCTCGCCTCTGCGATTTCCCGACGCTTCAAGACGGCCTCAGCGGCCTCCGAGATCGCCCTACGACGGCCCATGGGGCCCGAATGCGGGCTCCCGGACGGCCCTCGAGGGCGTCAGGACAACCCGAGAAGCCTCCACGGCAGCCTCCCAGGGCCCCACAAACGCCCCAAGAGAGGGTCCACAGGGGGAGCACGAACCGATATTTCAAGCCCTCGCCCTTCAGAGGCTCCCAGAAATCCCCAAGAGACCCCCAAGAGGCCCCAACAGGCCCCCAAGAGGCCCTCAGCGGCCCCCAGGGAGCCCCCCAGTGGCCCCCGAGCGGCACAGGAGGCCCCCCAAAGGCTCCCAAGAGGCCTCGGGACTGCTCCACAGGAGGTCAACCAAGTTCTATATCCAACGCGCGAGCTCTTACATGTCAATTGTCTGAGGGTGTTAAGACGAGCGTGCTAGAAAACCGCGCGCAGACTTCGCGGTCCCTCCGATGTGGGACCGCGGGTCGTCCTAAGACGAAGCCAGGACGACGACGAGGAAGAGAAGAAAGAGGAGGAATGAAGCGAGGACGATGACGAGGACGAGAAGAAACATAAGTCCTCGGACATTCTCCTCTGCCTCCTAAACGCCCCCGAGCCGCCTGCCAAGAAACCCAATGGAACCCCAGCAGCGCCTCGTTGACAACGATCCCTCAGCCAAACGGCAGAGATGAGGCTGTATGGGCCGGCGCGAGCGAAGCGATTGAACCAAGAAGTAGCATCTGTTGGTTCGCGGTTCAGCTCGAGTCTTGGGGCTCATCTCCAGTCATGTTCGATCGAAGCTGTTGATTCTGTACCCAGAAAGTGTACCAACGCAACTTCTGTGTTAGCAGCTATCAACGCATCATCCCCGCCGTCAGCATCGTCGTTATGACAGTTACCGCTATCATCAATACAGCCAGCATCGTCAGCGCCATTGTACATGTCATTGTCAGCACATGCCCATCGCATTATGGTCAACGTGGTCGTCTCCGCCTTCATCACCCTTAGTGCTAATTCCGTCGGTGTCTCGGCTCGAGTGAGCTTGGTCTGGTGCTCAATGATCTGTTCGACGAAAGAATCTGATGTCTGTCGTGCATTTAAAATCTTGCTCCTGCTCGAATGACAGACAACATGTATCAACTCACAGCCCTTCTCGGTATAGTATCCAGCTGCCTGCGGTAAACCCCGCCCACCGCGCCTGTGCAACAGCGCAGCAGGAAGGAGGCTGAGTGTAGGAACAGCGCATTTCCGACGAGTAGTCTGACTTGGGGCGGGTCGTGATTCCGACCTCGTCTTCGTCCGCGCGGTAGGGAGGAGGAGGAGGAGAAGAGGGAGAACATGATGAGGAGGAGGAGAAGGCTTCTTGGGACCTTCTTGGGGCTTCCTGGGGGCCACCCAGGAGCTTCCTGAAAGCTTGGGGGCCTCTTGGGAGCCCCGTGGGCCCTCTTGGGGGCCTCTTGGAGCCTTGTGGGTCGTCTTAGGGGACCCTTGACCCGTCTGACGCCTATGGAAGCCGCCTTGGGGGCCTCCCTAGGCCGCTTTGGTGCCCTTCTGCAGCTGTTCACGGCCATCTTGGGGTCCTTTTGGGAGCCCCCTTTGGGTCTTCTTGGGCCGACTTCGGGCGCTCCTGGTGGCATATTGGGCTGTCTTGGAGCTTTCTCGGAGGTCTCTTGGGGGCCTCTTGGGCCGTCTTGGGCGGTCGGAAAAACCCGAACAGGCGAGAACCGCACAGGCCTTCAACAGCCACCAGAACACCAATGGTTGTGGCCCAGGCTTTCCAGGAGGGCCTCCTGTAGACCTCTTGGGCCGTCTTGGGTGCTCCTTGATCTCTCCTAAGGCTGTCTTGGGCGCCTCTTTGGCAGTCTTGGGCCATCTTGGGCCATTTTGGCGTCATCTTGGCTGCCTTGAAAGGCGTCCTGGAGGCCATGAGGCTCACAAGAAGGCCCCCAAGGCAGATCAAGAGGCCCCCAAGACGGCCCAAAAGGTCTCCGAGAGGCCCTCCAGGAGAGCCCGCTGAAGCCGACACCATTGATTGTCTTAAGGCTTTTGAAGGCATGTTTGGGTTTGCGACCGCCCAAGACACCCCAATAGGCTTCTCTGGACCGTTTTGTTGCTCTTTATTTGAGCGCTTCGAGGCCGTCTTGGGGCCCTCTTTGGGATCCCCCTGGGCGATCTTTGTGTCCTCTTGGGCCGACGTGGGGCCCTCTTGGGGGCCTCTTGAGTTGTCTTGGAGCTATCTTGGAGGCCTCTTGGAAGCCTCTTGGGCCGTCTTGGGTGGTCGGAACACCCGAACAGACGAGAATCTCAACATCCTTCGAAAGCCTAAGGCAAATCAATGGTTTTGGCCCCCTGGGGCTATCCAAGAAGGCCTGTTGGAGACCTCTCGGGTTGTCTTGGGGGCCTCTAGGACCGTCTTGAGGCCCTCTTGGGCTATCTCGAGCCGTCTTGAGGCTTTCTTGAGAAGCCCTTGAGCTCTCTTGGGCCATCTTGAGCCGTTTTGTTGTCTTCTTGGCTGTCTTGGAAGCCGTCTCGGAGGCCGTCTTGGCCGTTGGGAGACCGAAGAGAGCGCCAGGGAGCAACTTCAGGGGGGACGATTTCTGAACCCCGCTTGCAGTGCAGGGGGGGTGTCGGCCTAAGAAAACATACAGTGACCACACGAGCATTCTAACCCGCCTGCTACGTGCAGGCACGGTGGCGGATGTGTTGTCGCGGTTGGGCTCGGTCGTTTTTGCACGAGCGTTTCTGGTATTGTTCGTGACGCGGGTTCGTTCACGGTACCCCTGCGCATGGGCGAGGGTCTTAGTGCTCTTGGAAGACTGAGACAGTCGAATGCAGATCTTCCTTTGCCTCGGGTACCTGGTTCCGACCCGATGCCGGTGGAGGGTGCGTCTCTCTCGAGGCAGCCGCTGATCAAGCTGGATCCGCCACGTACTGGTAAGTACAATTTCTCGAGCTGGCCGGAAAGCATGAGTTTCAGCCAGTGCCGGCAGGATATCATTTTGGCCCCCTTGTTCAAAGATATCAGAAACGGATTCTTTGTGGAAAGTGGAGCTCGAGATGGGCAAGAACACAGCAACACCATCTATTACGAGTGGCGTGGCTGGCAGGGTTTGCTGATCGAGCCTTCGAGAGAGTATTTCCATATAGCTGACAAGTGCCGCAAAGCGTACGTTTTTCATGGCGCTCTGTCTCCCATTCCACAGTCCACGAAGCTTGGATTCTGGGATTCGGCGGATGGGTTGAGCCACGTCGACGCAGAGCTTCCCTCTGAGGTGCAGGCCGAGCCGCTTGAACTGCTGCTGCATGCAGTTGATCCGGATCGGAAGACCGTTGATTTTTGGTCTCTTGATATCGAGGGGTCCGAAGGTCCAGTACTTGAATCCACGAACTTTTCGAATATCGAATTCGGCGTTCTCATGATAGAGTA